GCTTTCCCAAAAGTTATCATCCGGGATGGACTGCAATTTCGACCTCGCATATGTCTTATAAATACCCCTATTTGGGGTTGAACCGTGACAGTGCAGCATGTGCGTTTGACACGTTAACTACTCGGCCAAATTGCCACGAGTGCCCTTGAGTCACAGGGCATATGTCAATTCCACGGAAGGCCAGGCCTTTTCCCATATCACATTCTTTGGTGGGATTGTCGATGAAGCAAACGTATTTTTGCTATAACCATCGACTATATTACTTATTTTCATATATAAGCAGAGTTTCGAGACTACCAATAAATCACTTCAATGAGCTTCTACTATAAGCTTTTCATCACCTTAAACGAAATAGGGTAAATAAATCTCATATAAGAGATTTACTGGTAGTCTCGAAACTCTCCTTATATACTAAAAATGATTTTGATGTTTAACATCGACCAATTGACCAGTGAGGTAAGAGAAAGTGGGCAGAATGAAGATCAAGAGCCCTGTAACCGACACCTGGTACCGGCGGTGGAGATGATTACGCTTCACTTAACCTACTGATAGCGACACACTCTTATGTGACAATGTGGGGAACGAGAGCATAGAATTGTGTGAATATGTAGATAGGTTATATGAAATGGGGTTGAGGGAAAGAGATACAGCACTAGAAGGTGCAACACAAAATAGGAACGAAGGGTGATGCCTAAACTATTGAACAGAAAATTGGTCAAGGAGATTGCCTTCACTTGTCACTTTGCTAAGTTGCAACTCTGTGTTATCGATGGCGCTTCTCATTGACGATGGCAGTGGAATGTCTGGGAATGTACCAAGTCTATGGTTTGATGCTGGAAATCACAAATACTATGGCAGAGGGCATTGGCCTAGGTGCGTTATACAAGGTCTCTGATGCTTCGACCAAGTTGCGAAAACGAGGCCGAACAAGCACTATGATGTTAAAGAAGACTGTGACCAAACAGAAGGCCACACCATCTTGGTCTTCGTATTTACAATTTACATAGTCTTGCTTCCTAATTTGCCAAACTGAACTGCAGTTTCGATCTTTATTCATCGACACCCACCCTGGAGGAAATAAGCTTTTTGAAAGCAAGGCTGAGTGAAATTCACTGGAGACCTGAGGCCTCAGCATAGTAGGAAAAATTCACTTCTCACTCTTATATCACCTTATGCAACCTAAAGTTAATGGAAATCTTATTCAAGATTTGTTTTTAATATAGATAAAGTTTTTATGTGAATTTGTGAGGAAGATATATAAACATAAGGATAGCGGTAAAAAGGGCTGAATCAGGATAACCAAGACAGCGGACTTTAGATGTGACTAATTGTTTTCGTTACCGATACTCACATCGTCTTAAAGCCTTGACATCGCCCCTAGGACCATCTACGCAGAAGCATGACACTAAAAGGCAGGACGGGCATGTCTTAGCCCATGTATATTTTTGGAGTCCGCATTAATCAAGTGTCAGTTGAACTCAATTTTATTATTGTGCCATAATTTTTTATTTGACTTATTTCATTTTGCATCAGTGAACCCTGAAGACTGCTTAAGAGATGCCCTTCTCCGACTTGATGAGGATCTTTGCTCCATGGAGATTTTGTCTTCAACGTCTATCTCTTCCACTTCTGCCGGGACTCCGCTCACGTTTCCAAGACCTGGTTCTAGAAATGCACTTGGAATTGAAGAGGCACCCTTGTCTCGTGATCTTCTTCATGTTGTATTAAGCGGTGCGGTGGCCACCGTTGGCCGGGTATTCTGGCGCTCTGCAATCGAAGGCTCTGGTCAGCCGGAGCTTCATCTAGCTAATGTGGGTGACTCTGGTGCCGTGCTTCTTCGCGAGACGCAGCCAGGTGAGCTACCTTGTTACGCGATATGGTATAACAGAATATTACATCGCATTTATTACTACTAATAACTACTCATTCACATCAAGTTTTCTTTTTTTCTACTATGATTGGTACTCTGAGTGATTGTAATGCCTTATTTGATTTTTGCTTACTTTAAAAATCGCCACAAAATGAAGTTTAATTTTGTTTTTGTGAAAAAAATTATAGCTTACTTGAGCCACTCTCCTGAGCCGTAGTTTCTCCATGAAAATTCTATATTAACTAAATGCACATTTTAATGCTATTGTTTGACTCTGTCAGGGAGACCTTCATTTCGTATGAAAGTGCATTAAGAAGAGATTCGTAGGTTGATCTCACCAGAAGACGACGGCTGATTCTCGTAGTACTAGAGCAAGCTGGCCTTAATACAGCGTTTAGGTAGACGCTGTCCACGAGACAACCACCCTCGTTTCGAGTGAAAATGGACTGAACTTTCGTCCGTCATTTGATTAACATCATCAGAGCTTGAACTCATTCTTGTAAAAGTCTTACGTTACCACTATATCAAGAAAACTATCCGGCTCTTATGTATACTTAACTCATTTTTATTTTTTTAAATTTGAGTACATATAAGAGGTAAGATAGAGCCAGGTAGTCTTCTTGACCTAGTGTTAGCGTGAGACTTTTACAAGAATGAGTTACAGCTCTGATGATGTTGGGAATTAGATGGACAAAAGTTCAGCCTGTTCTCACTTGAAGCGAGTGAGGATATCTCATATACTGCATCTACCTAAACGTCATATTAAAGCCAAACGTCTGCGGTACAACGGGAATCAGCCGTCGTCTTCTGATGAGATCAATCTATGAATATCTTCTTCATTCGCTTTTATGCGAAATGAAGGTCTTCCCAACAATGTTATCTGAAAAAATGCATCGAAACCAATTTACTCTTTGTCTCTACTATTTTACTTCCTATTTGAGTTTCCGAAATAGATAAAACCGACTTTAGTAAATCTTTACGGGTATATTGGCTATATTATAGTATGAGAACTTTGGCATTAGTTCGTGCAGGTACTTTAGCCACTCATATTTGATTTTTTTACATAGCTAAATATTATGTGAGGCTATTCAACTCGCCACTGCTCTGATTTTTCTAGTGTGCTTTTCATCTTTACTTTCCAATGGCCCCTCGAGGGCTAAGTTACGACTGGGTCAGTTAATCTGGATCCTGCAATAATTCTCATTTACCTTGTATGCCACTTGTCTTAGGCCGCTCTAGGCGAAAAATGGAGATTTTTTGAAGACAATTTTTTCCTCTTTAATCCTTGAAAGGCACTACGCTGCTTTTTCTATTTTGAGGTTTAGGCTATTAGATCTATGCCCAATTTAATCTAATATTTTTACCATTTGGATGAGAAAAGCATTTACTGGGAATGTACCATGTACACGGTCCGACTTTGGAAATTATTATACATACTATGGACTCTGGACTAGATGCACCCCCCTAGGTCTTCCTACCAATATGGCCAAGTTGCTAAGACAAGGTCAAACAACTTCTATACAACGAAAGGAGACTGCCACTATACAAAAGGCCACACCTGCCTAAAACATCTTTTTTTACGCATTAACTAGCCTTTACGGTTGGTATGCAAGACAATTTAATCTAAGGATATTAAAGTTGTCTCTAGAATTATATCCTACTCA